GCAAACTTTCGTTGAACGTGTTCCAATATAGCATACCCTCCATTCTCCAATGAGGGAGGAGGCAAGTACGAATATATGACGACAAGAAGGTTATCTGCAAATACTTAGCCAATAGACTAACACATTCCTTTTCTCTCTTCTTTTCTTTTAACTAGCCTCTCCTTCCTATTTCCTAGTAAGAAACATTTTAGGCCTTCACAATTCTCTTTTCACCCCTCTCCCCGATCAAAAACAAAACAGAGATTCAGCTCTTGCAAGTAGTTGATTGAACCGAGTCAAAGTCACTTCAATTTCCCTTGATTGAAGGACCAAAGAACTTGTTATCCAAAATGTTGTGGAGAGCTTCCAGCATTCTGAATTAAATTAATTTTCCAACAAAATGTGTCTAATATATGGTCAAGATTATTGATTACAGTCATATAAGGACTAAAAATATGGTGTGCTCCTAACGCTCGACAGAGATACAAACGGGTATAAGACCATGGATGGCACTTTCTTCAACTAAATTGAATCACAACAACAACATAAAGAACATGTCCATAGCAGAAAACTTCGAAAATTCGAACAAAGAGAAGGCATACCCAGAATCCATCTTCATATGATGAGCATTGAAGAAGAAAATGGTAGATGGTATTAAGGTTATATCAAAATACTTGACATAAACTCGAACATCCTCTGAATCAATATCCACTAAAGCCACAGTCGTAAACTTGGACACCTCTCTCACAGATTTATACAGCTGCAGCCAACAAGAAGCAATGAAGTAAATGAACCACTCCAGAAAATATACAACTTATGCAATGTCAACTTAACAGTGAAAAAACACAACTTCTACACAGTTCGAGTGTCTAACGCATAAGGGTGAATTCACTTTTTCCACAGCTACCTACATCTTACACCCAAAACTATACAAATCGTAGTTGTAATTTGTAAAATATATACTCCCTCTGTCTCAATTTGTGCGCAACTATTACTATATGCAAAGACAAACAACTTGCGCTATTCCCCGCCAAAAAAAAGATAAAACGTTCTCCAAGAAAAATTATGACTTGTAGTCTTCTTCCCAAAACAGGAATTCCTTCAACAAAAATTATAACTTGTAGTCTTCCTCCAAATTTTTTTTATAACTTGTAGTGCACCCAAGGGTGTGCCCTAGTAGTCAATGACATAGGTTAAGAACCATAACGTCTTAGGTTCATAAGGTGATTTATTCTCATCTGTCCTAGCCTTGTTGCTGGTGGAGGTGGTAAGTATCCCGTGGAATTAGTCCATGTGCATGAAAACTTGTAGTACTATTAGACATTTGATGAGTTGATCCTGGAGCATATCTACTAGAGCTTTAAATTCAATGCACTCATATCGTAAACTATATTACATAATTAGGTCATTAATAAGGTAATTACAGACAAATCTCTGGCGCAACCTGATGAAATTGATTACTAAATTGCTACTACTGGTATAAGTATTCTCTATACTTTCAGTGTATATAACTTAAATCCATGTATAATCTCACTAGCTTAGCTTAAAATCCTAAATTCGCCTAAAATTTAAGTTTCCTCAGGTAATGATCTTTACAAGAGAAATTCAAGGAATTGGAACAAAATAGATTAGTCTATCACTGTTTCACAAAAAAAAATAGGAGAAAACAGAAAAAATGGAGGCGTACGATGTCGTCGAGCTGGAGGCAAAGAGGATCAGAGGATCGGCCGAGACGGAGGACGAGAACTTTGTCGATTGTGTCCCTTATTATCGAATCTACTTCTTCCTTCTTCGTCAGCGTCCTCAATATATACTCCATCTTCTCTCCCCGTCTTTTCTTCAAAATACGGCCAAACGCTACCGGAAAAACTTTATAAGTATTTGCATGCGAAGAGGGCTTCGCCGGAGTGGTGCAATTTTACAGTAAATACATCGAGAAATACATTTTTTTATCAGCTAGAATAATTGCACTTTTGGTCCCTTAATTATAGATAAAATGTGATTTTAACCTTTGATTAACTGAAATATGTGTTTTTAGTCCTTTTGTATAGAAAATTGGGTATAGGTTGTTTGGCCCGTTAGGTGACATGTTTGAATCCGATAATATAACGAATCATTGTGATTTAATTTGTCGAGTCAAATTAATAAATGGATCATTATTCAACTCGTTCTAATTTAAATTATTAGATGGATTACAAAATATGAGTTGATTTTGCTAATTCAAAAGTACTAATTATTTATTGAATGTGTTGTCTTCAAATCAATAAGAGGGAGTTTGTCTACGCGTATAAATGAGTAAAATTTATCGAGTGGTTATTCAGCTTTGAGTTTATCAAAAAAATGTTTGTCTTTCTTTGAAATTGATTTATTGTTAGTGTCCACTTGTGCCTATGAAGCCACGGGGTTGTCTCACGAAGCTTTTTTTTTATTCAATATCTTCACATCTACTTTCTCTAAGATGAACCAGTCCTTTGCTATCGCAAGAATATAGCCATCAAAGAGTTATATGTGCTACTTCGCTTATTATACCATATTTGCTCAAAGAGGCATATTGTAAATGCATAGGTGAGTGATAATTAAACATAAGAGACATGTCTGAAGTTGAGCAAATATATATATATATTATTATTATTAATGAGCCAATTTGCCACCTCTAGGTATAATGCATTAGTGCTATCCTTAATTAGGATTCACTATTAGCTAGGTCAGAAACAACATTAAATATGAAAGAGACAAGAAATAAAACCTACATCTCAATATTCTTTTTTATTGGATTACGACTTAATGAAACACTGAGAACCAATTACTTAACTGAGTATGAAAGGTTAGAGAATTATATACTTACAAAGACAAAATTATATAATATTTAATTTATTATATATTAATTTAATTAAACAATCACCAGACATTTTAATCACCCCACCTCCCAAACATATTTGTGAGGTGATTCTTTGAAGAATATGTCTTCTTAAGCCCATATATTTTTGTAGGTGCCCATTGCAGTCCTTGTTTTTTCACAATTGTTTGTGTCCACTACTTCGTAAATGTGTTAGATGTCTCATAAAACAAAACAATGGAGTAATATCTTATCCACCCAATTCATATTCCTATAGTTTTATTTGTCGGTTAACTATTCGATATTATAAGGTTAGAATCTCATATTGGTTGAAAAATAAAGTGGTGATCTGCTTATAATATGGACTTGAATGATTTTTTGCTCATGTATTAGCTTTAGATGTTGATTAGTTAGACTCAAATGTCATATTTTTACATGATATCAAAGTCAGGTCCATCTCTATTTGGACTCACAATCCACAAAGTCAGATTTATCCCTACCCGATCCACAACTTGCAGTTTGAGCTCAATATTATGAACCAAATGTACTTGTGATTCAAAAGTTATTTTCTTTAATTTGTTGAAATACTGTCACATAATCTAGAGAATAGTAATTTATACTTTCTGGACCTACCTCATCTAATACTTCCAAAAAAATCCTTTGAGAGGAATAGTAACCTAATGAGACCATGAGAGTGTTAGATTCAAAATAAAAATAATTCTAATTAGCAAAAAAACTCAAGGCTATCGCAAGTGTAGGTCTACAAGATAGCTATCACAAAATTTCGTCGTTCGTTTCATCATAAGATCAATCTATCACTCAATTATACGTATTTTATCGTTATCTAATTGCAACCAACAATTATATATCTACTTATCGTATTTTTACACCTGCTCAATAAATAGTAATTCAAAGCAACTCAATTTATGCCTTGGCAGTTGGGACTTCAAGACTGATCTTTCTATTAAATCTTATTGTAACATGAAAAATACCCCAAGACTCCCTTAGATGGCCATAAACCAAACACCACCAAAGGCCCTACATTTTGTATGGTGAACAGAGTTTCCACCATAGATAAAATCCATTTATTACATTTTAATTTCTTTATTAGTGTCATTTTTTTCTCCCTTAGATTCAAGATTTGCTTAGTACCCACCACATGATCAATTAGTCTTACTATATATTTAATTTGTATAAATATAATCCTTATTGCCACAAAAATCACAAAACACACCAAAATTAGTGTCTTCATCTTTCTCCAAAGGCCAAAGACAAGAAATTTTGGCTTATTACAGACAAACACATATAATTCCTTCTATATATGATCCATTTGACCAAATTTTTTTGTCTCACTTGTATAGTCTAAAGAATCTAGTCTATTTAAAATATATTTCCACTAACATGCAGGTTAGCTAGTTTTCTAATATTTTTTTTTTCTTCATCATAAAATTATTTATTGTCATGTTCACATCTAGCTAACTTTGAGCATTCACATATATAACAGATCCTTCAATGGCTTTTCAAGAATGCAAATGAGACCAATTTTAACACCAATTCTAGCAAGAAGCAAGTTGTTACTGGTGAGTGAAAAAAAAAAACTTTGTTCACTATCTTGTTAGTTTTACATTTTAGATTTGCATTTCGTGTTCAAATATTGTAATTTCACCGATAGTCTATTTTTCAGATTACCATATCAGACTTGACACGAAGATAGTCTGATATGAAAAGTTGCCTATTTATAGCTATTCATGCAACTTTACAAATTGGAATATGTTATCGTTCTATTTTTCAAATTATCATATCAGACTTGACATATGAAGATTGTCTAACATGAAAAGTTACCTATTTTATAGGTCAATTTTTCCTTATGATGTAAATAAATTATACATTGTCAGCGCGCAGAACTTAGATTGCTACATTTTAATGTCATTTTTGAGATCCGAAGTCATCAGTGTTTGTTGATTTCTCTGTTTTTTCAGATGAGGAAGTGAAATCCCAAGGCATTGTCCTGTTTGCGATTTCTCGAAAAAAGAGAAATCGAGCTGGAAAATCAGCAAATTCATGCTGCTGCAACATCCTCAATTTGTTCAACACATTACGCAGAAAAGACATTGCGAAAGATTATTTCTACAGCACGATTCGTCTAAAGAGATTGGAAAGTTCGCGAAGGAAACAACAATTTGTAGATTGCATGAAGATGAAAAAACAGAGTCTTACTCGTGGATTAAGCTTTCGTCGAAAGTCAGATTCTGCCACAGCCAAAGTTTTGCCAGTTAGTGATGGCCATAAGGAGCAAAATTTTAGTGCAGATAAGAAGGAAAAGGCTAATGGAGATAAAATCAAGACAGTTTCAAAGATGAAAGAACTAATAAGATGGGCTGCTGCTGCTAAATCACAAAAGGGAGGAAAATACTTTGGTCAAAAGGTAAGATTACTCGAATTTAACTTATATACACCGACAATTATCTAGTGTAACGTTATTTGTTTTAGCAAGTTGCTTGTACTATCAAGGTTACGAGCCATTTAACTTATTTTAAGTCAGTAAAATATAACACGAGATCTGGAAATAAAATCTTTGTAGGTTAGTTTTCTTTTATTCAAATGTAATTGGTCATAAAAGATCGAAAATCCATACTACATAGTACACGACTCCATATTATTTATATCTAAGAGGAGAAGTACAAGCATATTCTTAATATTATTTGACTTGTCTATTTATATATCTTATGACGAACATGTTGCCACGATCACATTCAAGTAATATGTAAATGAATTATATTCCATCAATTTTTCTTATGTTATACAGATACAGCTTTTATTCTTCCCAACTACTCTCTATATATATTTTTTTATGTTGTCACTAATGAAAATGTGTCTGGACCAGAAAGTGTGGCCACACTCTCAAAAGTTCTTTAAAAATAAAAAATATTTTGTAGTAAGATTTAACTTATATACGCTAACTATATAAAAATAAGTATTTATGAACAGTTACTTGTATTTCTCATTTAAGTGAACTGATAATGTGTAGGTTCTGCACTTACGCGATAGGTCGGACTTAAAGGCAGTACCAGATGATGATGATCAACTGAGCTATGACTCTCCAAAGATCAGCTTCAGATGGGATGTTGATCAAAATTACTCTGCAATTTCAGTGACAAAAAATCACCAATCTATAAAAAATTCCCCTTTAAACACTATGGTCCATATAGATCAGTGCCTTGCAGCAACTAGAAAAGGGAATTGGGTCACCACAGATTCTGAATGTAAGTTTCCTTAGTCCTTTTATTCAATACATAATGTAGTCCAAAGAGGATACGATATCTAGACTCCAAAAAGGAAGTATGTAATGCTAGATTGTAAATCGAACTAAGGTCTATTTCAGTAAAGTCATAAAACTAACCAAAATACATCAATCATTCGTATATTTGGTATAATATGAAAAGCAATAATGCATATTCATTAAGTTCGTACCAAAGATTACAACCCTTGTTAAATTTGAAGAAGTACTTATCGAGCCACTATAACCTTCTCGGTGATTATATCTTTTTTGTTTCATATTTTAATTTTGAAGCAAACTTTTTTCCATCAATTTATGCTATTTTTTTTTAATAACAGTTGTGGTACTAGAGCTAGAGCTATGAAGAAGATTGGTGGTCTCTGTGCCACGTGGATTATAGTAATTTGTTCATCAACTTTGCTACTTTGATGTAACGTTGTTTGTTTAACGCACATGACATTCACCTTATATGTCAATTTTATATTCTAACCAACGTTCAACGATAACAATAATGTGTCTGGATGCTGCTAAAAACCCACGAATAGCAAGTGCCTTTTCTTGTGTGGATCTTATTTTATTGGGTACTTGATGAGGTGACCACCTTCACATTTTTATTTTACTGTTACATTGAGAGTTACTCAACATATTGCTTGACGTGAAATGGATAGTGGATTTATTTGTCGTTGTTGAATCTTTTTTCACAGCTCGATAGATAATTTGATAAGACGCTGAGTTTTTTTTCCGTGTTTTATAATATGATTAATCAATATGTTAACTAATTGATTATGATAAATTGGGTCGAATTTTAATGTTTGTTACAATGAAATTAAAATTTATAAGTGGAATCTGAAAACAGTGGTATGTATATAGTCTTATTCCTAGTTTGTAAAGACACAAATATTATTTTCGATATATATTGGTTCAAGTAAAGCATATCACAATGGAAGAAATATGAAAAAAATACAGTAAAAATAAGGGGAAATAAACATTAACAATAACAAATAATACATATACTTGGACCATTCTACCCAACTTTCAAACTCATAAATGTTTCATGGGACCAATTTCAAACTAATATCCCTTCATTCATTGCATTTAGGCATAATACATAGACGTGATCCTTAGTTTAGCGTTAACTAGCAACTATGACCTTTAACATTGAGTGTGCATAAGTAGATACTTAAACTTGTATTAAAATGAATAAATTATAGACACATTCGTCCTACATAGCATCATACATGATAATTTTGTGTCCTACATGACGTCTTATGTGTATTATGTCATGTAGAGCATGTATGTCTGTCTACTTATTCAATTTTATACAAGTTTAAGTGTCTACTTGTACACACTCAAAGTTGAAAGACATAGTTATCTGCTAAAGCCAAGTTAAAAAGTTATATTTATGTATTATACCTTGTATTTAATTTGATTATAATTACACTATAGGTGAATTGAAGACTTTTAATCCTCTTGCCTATTAAAAAGAAGAAACTTTTAATATGAAGTTATTTTGATATGCAAACAAAAAGAAGTAAGCAATCTATTGGTCTTAATTTAGTAATTTGTGATGAAAGACCTCAATGATCTATACAATCATTTATAATCTAGTAAAGGTCTTCAGTAGCATTTCCTCACTAGCTCTCTTGGTATTTTAAAGCTTAAAAACCAAGTCCTAGTAATTGGTAAGACCTAAAATAACCAATTTCAACTTTTAAATACTCCATTCGATTTAATTTGTTTGTACTTTGATTTGATAAAAAACTTAAGAAAGTATTTTTTTTTTTAATTCTTGTGAAGTTATGGTATTAAACTAAAGATAGGTAGAATGTATCAAAATACCCTTCAATCTCACGGACTTTAAAAATTAAAATTAACGAATTATCAAAAAAACTTTTTTTAAAAAAATAAACTAAAAGGAAAAATTAAAAAACAAATTAAACCTTTTTTTTACCCACCCTCAAGAAGATCAATAATGTTCTCACTTATTCTTCAAATTAACTTAATCGCTTAAACCTAACTTTAATCTATCAATTGATGATAGAGGCACTCAATCACTCGAGCAAGTCTGACTTGTCTCAACCATATTAAATTTCCAAAAGCCAATTCTTTAATTTTTCTTACTCTTTATATGTTTGTTTTTCTGTTATATCACTGTGCAACAAAGTAGGAAAACCAACTACTCCTCACACAGTCTTCATTTTTTTTCTATAATCTAAACTAAAATCCCACACACTTTATCAACTCAATAAAAAAAAACAATCTTTTTCAAAAACCCTCAATCAAAAAAACAATCTTTTTCAAAACCCCTCAATCAAAAAAGGATGGAAGAATCCATTTGTATTCAAAAACTCAATTCTCAAAATGACCAAAAAATCAAGAATTGGGATTTTCTTTCTTCAGATCTTACTGAAAAAATCCTCTCATACCTACCAATTCGTTCTATAATTGTTGCTTCCTCTGTATGCAAGATCTGGAATTCCATCATCACTTCTTCTTCTTTCACTACCAAAATCTCTGCTACAAAAAAGCAGCCATGGCTTTTTCTCTGTGGCCAAAACAGCATTTTTTACAACAATAACCAACCATTTGCTTATGACCCAGATGCCAATGAGTGGATTTCACTTCCCACTTCAACCCTTTTGTCCCAAGATTTCTTTATTGGTTCAAATGGTTTTTTCTTTGCTACAACTTCTGAAAATTTCAGTTTTAAGCCTATTTTTAATGGAATTTGGGTCCAAACAAGCCCTTTGAGGTTCTCCAGGTGTAATCCTCTCGTGGGTGTTTACAATGAAGGGTTAAATCCAAGATTCATTGTTGTTGGTGGGGTTAGATTTGTTGGTGGATTAGTTGATGTTGAGGACAGATTGGCTGTTGAGATTTATAACCCAAATCTTGATTATTGGGAACTGTGCCCACCTTTACCAGCAGATTTTAGGTCAGGGAATTCATCACAGTGGTTATGTTCAGCTTTGTTAAGAGATAAATTCTACTATGTTTTTGGGATATATTCTTGTTTTATTACATGTTTCAATTTGGATGAACATTTGTGGAGTGAGGTACAAACACTTAGACCACCTGGGATTTTGTTTTCATTCTTGGTAACTTGTCAAGATTGTTTAGTTTTAGGTGGATTATGCAATTCACCAAATGGACCAAATTTTGTTCTATGGAAGGTTGATGAGAAAACAATGGAGTTTAGTGAACTTGCTACAATGCCTCAAGCATTGATGTATTGTTTGTTTGATAGTGATGAAGATGACAAATTTGCTAGTTTGAAATGTGTTGGATTGGGGAATCTTGTTTATGTGTACAATGAAGAACATCTTAAGAATTATCCTGCTTGTGTTTGTGAATTTAGTAATGATTTTGGGATGTGTAGTTGGAGGAAGTTGCCTAATTTGCCACCAAATGCTAGTAAGTTTCATAGAGTGATTAGCTTTTGTTCAAATGTTTCACTTGACAGCATTCTTGTTGGTGCAAGAATTTGAAGTTTCACGGCATCGAGCCATGTGGTGGGATGGATGAGAATATTCATTATCTTTAACCAGAAGTTTCAGACTTGAGCTTTGAATACAAGGAAACTCATGCTAAAGAGCATTAGCTAGTGGGTCTATGGTGTGAATTCAGATTCGTCGGACTTACAACTCTTGAAATTTCACCAACAACCAAGATGTATGGTGGGAATAGATGAGATTCTTTCTCGAGTATAAGCTTTTGGAATAGAGAAATTTATGGTGGGTCGGGAGTGATTTCTCTATAACAAGCCCTACGCTAGGCGAATCCTGATTTTTAGGATGGTTTTTTCATTTCATAATTGTATATGTACGTTTAGAGATATGTACTTGGTACTTTTTCCTGTTTCCAAAATTATATATATATGCAATTATACATGATAACTTTTTTCATGTTGTGCTCGATGTAATTTTCAGTTAAGACTTCAGGTAATATTAATTATTTTTAAGTTATCCAATCCATTTCTTCTTCTTTTTGGATCTAATAAAGGTGAAAAGCAAATAGGGAAAGTGAATATATATTCGATTTTGAGATCACCATTTAAGCTATATAAGGCAAAAGAAAAAAAAATTATATAACTGAAGTTAAATCATTTTTGCTTAAGCTCCAATGACGTGTGACTGAAAATTTAACTATTTTATTAAAGTTTAATTATTTTTAAGCAAAATGAAAATTATATTTTAAAAAGTTAAATAATAGCTTAAAATATGATGAGTTATTCAAATATTAGACGGTAAGATTCATAAATATATTAGTAAAAAACATAAGATTAGAGTCTAAGATTATCTAGAAGAATAATTTTCAAGAACTATATTTATTTTTTTTAGATTTTCATTCGTGTTTGGTATCCATATTGTAGCCAGACTAAATTTGAATTTGCGCCAGAAAGTCCCATAATAGTAAAACCCTCCACTCCACCACAATCCTTGTCGAATATATTTATCCAAGTTTTAAGAACAAAATCTAACTAAATGACCTAAAAGGGGTTATTTGTATAAACCATCCCTTTATAGAACCTCGTGGCCCGTTAAATTTCGGGCCTCAAAATAAGCCCAAAATTTCACCTGATAACAAAACAAACAATTAGCTGCTGCCGCTGTTTCTGTCAAGGGTTTACAGTTGTTTCTCTGTAGAAGAAGAAGAAGAAAAGGAGGGTTTTAGGGTTTTTGTTTATCAGAAAAAAATGGATAGGTACCAAAAAGTAGAGAAACCCAAGCCTGAATTACCCATTAACGAGAATGAGATCAGAATCACTTCTCAGGGACTTGTAAGAAACTACATCAGCTATGCTACTAGTCTGCTTCAGGTATAACACTCACTTTTTTTTCGTAACTGGTAAAGTTGTTGTCATGTGACCAAAAGGTGTCGGGTTGAAGCTTTAGTGCACTGGACTGCTTCTTCTTTATTGTGGCAGTAGTTTTTACTGTGTTTTTTGGTATAATTGTTATGCATGTATATATAGGTTTCCATTGGTTGTTCATAAAGGCATTCCAGAAAGTGAAACTGTTTGCTTTTTTCAGCTGTTTTTTTGCTTCCCCGATGAATTGGTGTTGTTTGATTGATTGGATTGATGTTTTTTTCTTTTGGCAATGGTTTGGGATAATTGTGGAATCATTTACAGACAGTGTTAAAATGTTCGGCTTTTCGGCCCTAAAGGTATTATTTTTGGTTTGGATGTGATTGCATGCATTTATATTTCGTGTGCCTTTGTTGACAATGTAATATATGGATTGAGATTTTTATTTTTAAGCTGTGAAATAGTGTGGTCTATTGAGTGCGATCACTGCTCTGTGTTTGTAGGATGTTGCTACTAACTATTCATAACTTTTGGAGTTCTCATGGTCGTGCATATTAAAGTAGTATTTGCACCAAGTAGTTCCATTAAAACAGAGTCAATGTGCATATATCTTTTGCTGTCAATATGTAGGCTTATGTTTATTACTTTAACATGACAATCACTTGAGAGTATTCATGAC